ACCCTGGCCAAGAAAGAGTCGGGGCTGTCTGAAATGTTCTGAGTGAGCCTCTGCTGCCACCTAGTGACCGATGCAAGTCTTTTAAGAACTTGTCAACAGCCTAGTCTGTCTTAGTGACATGTGCCTCACTAGCACCTGGCTTACAAAGCTCACCTTTTTTCCTATTCACAAAACTCAGAATGGAGTCTTCTTTAGTCTAGGCTTCCAACACCAGTCACGCATAACTTCTCAAGCATTGTCAATTACAGAGTTTAAACTATGAGACTGAACGGCATGAAATTGCCATTTTGCTCTGCCATTAATGGTAGTATGGGTTTTGGTTTTATTGAGAGAGAGATTTTTCCTATGGAGCATGTATGCTCGCCAGAGAGACAGAAAGAGGCAGAGAGATGGATAGCAAGAAATTACACCCCGGGGAATGGCCATGCCACAAATCCCTTCTCTTCTAGTCTCCTCTCAGGATTTTGGGCACACATACACAGGCGCCTGGCATGAGTTTTAAGCTGCACAGTCTGGGACTCGAACCATGGTCATCGACTATGTGGGAATCCAGTGACATAGCCATTATGCCATCAGCTGCTCCCAAGAACATGTGGGTTAATCCGATGTCTTGAAATACTGGATGGGATTTTTCAGAGCCTCTATACATCATCCTGTTTCAGGACCGTTTTATTACATCAAATACATCTCCAGCTCATTGAGTGCCAAGTTTATGCCAAAACAATGAGCCCTTGTCCTTTGATGAGTGACAGCCATTTACACAAGAAGTACAAGGTACTGAATGACTGAATTGAGGGAGTGGCAGTGGCGATGGAAAAGGAAAAATGAATTCAGGGAAGCAGAACTGAGTGACATGGTGACTAGACTTAATCTAGCAAGTTGGTCAAGAATGATGATGCCGTTCCCTAACAAAGGTAAACTGGGAGACAGGCATGTTTGGGGATGACATTAAGCACACACTCTTCTCTAAAACCTTCACAAATGGTCAGGTGACATAGACATTCTTCTGAAGTCTCTTCCATTTTTTGAAGTGAATTTCAACCTGTTGGTTGGAATTGGACACAGGATAGTCGCTATTCAGTTGTTCTGTACACCTTCTAGAAGAAGTCACTGTCAGCTACATGTGTCAAATACTTCTCAGATCCTCCTCTTTAGCTGAATGGATCTTCCAAGAGATACCTGTGTGTTAATTGTCACTGTTGTAGCTTTTATACCAGTGTTACAATCTGAGCTGAGGGAACACATCACTGTTGGTACCCTCAGTCCAGGTCTGGGTGTGTATTTCTGCAACACCAGTACTTCTCCTCTTTCCTTTTAATCTTCACTGCAAAACTGGGGAGACTAGACTTGAGACATCTAACATTTCATTGCTAATACCTGGTTGTAGAAATTTTCGTTTTGAACAAGTCACTGACATAAAAATATCTCCTCAAAAATATTTAGCTTATGGGCTGGCAGGTAGCAGGATGGTTAAAGCATTGGACTCCCACATGGCTGACCACAGTTTGAGTCCTGGACCTGAAGACTTCCTTTTTCACTCTCTCTCTCTCTTTCTTTTGTGCCCTGTAGCAAATTTTAAAACTAATGATACAATTAAATAAATAATTCTGAAAAAATATTCAGCTTATTGGGCCAGCTGATGGCATAGTGGTAACACACACCATTAGATTCTGGACTCACATGAGATGAGAAGGTCCTGAGTTCCCTTGTGCACAGCACGTGTGCATGCACATGCCTGCAACCCAGGCTGGCTGAGGCCAGGGTGGATGGTGGCATGGACCATCTGTTGATGGTCTCGCTCATGAAATAAACAAACTTAAAAATTCAACTTATTTTTTAAATCACAAAACAAAGAAAACACATGAATTCTGTATTTGTATTGAGAAATCAGAGATGAGACTCCACCCTGTGAAAAAAAATGAGTGGCAAAAATCCTCCAAAAAGGACGTTTGGTACGTCCAAGTTATTTTAGGGTGATGTAAAAATCTACAACCAACTTTGCTGACCACATCATCCAGTCTACAGCGATTTAACCAACATTTGGCTGTTTCTGTTTAGACCACACTCATCTCCAGGAACCAGTGCTCTGTGGGTCACACATGAAGTTTGATGAAGATCGTTGCGAGTGTGTCTGTAAAACTCCGTGTCCCAGGGATCTCATCCAGCACCCAGAAAACTGCAGTTGCTTTGAGTGTAAAGAAAGTCTGGAGAGCTGCTGCCAGAAGCACAAGATATTTCACCCAGACACCTGCAGGTGAATGACTTTTTCACTTTCACATTAACTGGACACATTGGCACTTTTTGAAAAAAGGGTTTTGCCATAAGGTGCATGCACTCACTAGAGAGACAGTGAGAGGGAAAGTGAGAAATCACCCCCGAGAAGGGATGGCCACACCGAATTCTTTTCTTCTCCAATTTCCTCTCAGGATTTTGGGCATGCACACACATGTGCCTGGTGTGATTTTTTAGGCTGCTGGGCCTGAGACTTGAACTGTGATCGGCCATGTGGCAGTCCAGAGCCTTAACCACCACACCACCCGCTGACCCCACTCAGTGACATTTAATGTAAATGCCATTTTTGATCCAGTGGGATTCCTCATTTGGCTACTGTTTTTCTCAGCCCCTTTTTGATATTGAAGTAGAGATTTGGCAACTAAAGAATAAGCAGGAATATATAGTTGATTAATTGTGTAGTTAAGAAAATCTTGCCTGGGAACTAGCAGTTAGCATAATGGCTATGTCGCTGGACTCCCACGTAGTTGACCACGGTTCGTGTCCCGGACCTGGTGGCTTAAAACTCATGCCGGGCTCGTGTGCGTGCGTGCCCAAGATCCTGAGAGGAGAATGGAGGAGAAGGGATTGCGGAGTGACCATCCCCCCTGGGGGGGTGATTTCTCGCTTTCTGTCTCTCTGTCTCTCTCTGTCTGTCTGGCGAGCGCATGCACCCTATAGCGAAAACCTCCCCCCCCCGAAAAAAAAGAAAATCTTGCCTGATATTGTGAGTTCCTAACTCTTAAACAAAAACCATATTGATGAGATTTTAACAATTCTTTTGAGGAGGAGAGTTTTTAGATCAGCAAACTGGTTCCACCGCTCACTGTGTATGTCTGCATATGTCTATTTGTTTTATTTATTTTTTATTGATGAAGAGGATGTCCTTGGGTTTATATGGAAGAAATTTGTTGATGAATAAGACCCTTGGAGGTTACTGATTAGGCTTTAACAGATTCTGAATCCTTGTAGGAGAACCATTCAAAATTTTATATTAACATTTTAAAAGCATGTCTGGAAAATTTCCTTTGAAAATGTCATCAGATCAAAACAGTTACTCCTTTTAATTCAGTCCTTGATTCTGAATTTTCACCTTGCCTTTCTTTTGCAACAGCTGTGAGGACAGATGTCCCTTTCATACCAGAACGTGTGCAAATGGAAAGCCAGTGTGTGCGAAGCATTGCCGCTTTCCAAAGGAGATGAGGGCTGCCCAGGGGCTCCACAGCCGAGAGGATCCTTGATTCGGCTTTGTTCCAAGTCCCCAATCCCTGTCACTTAAACAGCATGCTGCTTTGCCAAGTTGCTGTCACTTGTTTTTCTCCAGATGTTAGAAAAAGGTCCATCGCACATAGTGTCACAGTGAATCCAGACCAACCCTCCATTCGGCACCAGCCGAGGGCTCCGTGGATCACAGGCAGAGGTCTTCTAGCTGCAGATGCCTCTGTGTACCAAGGGTGGAAGGGAAGGGGACTACACAACCTTTATTTTTTGGTGCATGAGCGGTTTGTTCCTTACAGCATGACAGAAACCGTGTGATGGATTACTCAGAGCAGATGAGGAAACCTTACAGTCTCTCAGTCCTCTGGGAACTGCAGCTCTCGTCAATTATTCTGACTCTTTCTTATGCAGAATTTGATGTGTATGACCCGCACTGACTTTCTGATTACTGTCCAGCTTGTAGTTTTCCAGTTTAGTGAACGCCCACCTCATGTTCCATATTTAAGTGTATTTAAAGAGAATAAACACCATTATTCAAACTGTAGAATTTCGTGTTACTTGATATGCTTCCACTCTACATTCTATGCCAAAGAAAAAATGTTCTAGTGACTGAAGGGAATTAGAAAGTGGGAGGTGTAGGGAGGGACATGAGCACAGCAAAATCGGACCTGAGTTTCGGGAAACCAGGGAGCAGCTATCAGGAGGTTTAAGATCCTAAACCAGCTTAAGCAACTGCGACCCTACAAGCAGCTGGAAATCACTCTGTGAATTGAAATTAAATTGTATGACAGAGGGGAACCCATGAAGGCCCTTGATATTTTTGAGAGTTTAAATTTCTTCTGGCCGCCTCTGCCTCTGAGTTTTTGCACCTGGTCAACTCTCAGACTCATTCCCATCCCAAATCTCATGGCAACATGATTCATTTCTGCTCTACAGCTGCCCAAAAGAAAGCACACATCTTTTTTCTGTCTCCCCCCTCTGCCCCCTACCCAGGCCAGAGTACTCCCTCATATAATTTTTAAGTATAAAAGAGATAATTTTGCAACATTAACTTATTTATCAAAGAAATTAAAAAGTGACACACCACCCCCGCACCTTGGGCCAGCGGATGGTACAGTGGTTAAGGCACTGAACTCCCACATGGCCTACCATGGTTCCAGTCCCAGACTTGGTGTCTTGCAAATCATGCTGGGTGCATGTGGATGCGTGCCCCAAATCTGGAGAGGAGAATGGAGGAAAAGGTATTGCAGCAGGCCTTGCCCCTGGGGGATCATTTCTCACTTTCTGTCTCTCTGTCTCTCTCTGTCTTTCCAGTAAGCACATGTACCCTATAGCAAAATATCTCTGAAAAGAAAAGAAATTAACCCCCTCACAGTATCTCGCATAGACAGACACACACACACCCTATCTGTTATGGCACTTGTCACGCAGTTGTATCAACAGCTATGTTCATACTTATCTCCCTACTCTACTGTGGCCTCATTATGGTTGCAAACTTTCTCATAATCAAATTTTTGCAACTGAAGTTTCACAGGCAGACCACCTTGGAGCAATAACTAGAAAGGAGAAAGACTACAATGAACAAATATAGTGATAAGCAAATGTAGCCCCATGGTGTCATTGGGGATTCTTGGCCCAAGTCCCTGCCCTGCCTTTGTCAGGGTTTCTAAGCAGTTTCTAAATTCTTCCTTTGTCTGCTGAAGTCCTGAGTCCTGTGGCTTCAGGCCCTCTGATCCATTCCCAGCTTTAGTTCTCAGTCCCTGCCCTGGAGACACTATGGACTTTTCCCTGGCCCTGGGTCAATCCCCATTGTGCCACATTGTCATGAACTGGTGCTGACCCAGTCACTCCTCTCCTGCCACTGTTCCTCTGGCCCTCAGTTGGTGATCTTTTTTTTTTTTAAAGGTTTTTGCTATAGGGCATGTGCACTCACCAGAAAGACAGAGAGAAAGAGAGACAGTAAACAAGAAATTGCCCCCCAGGAGGGATGGCCACGCTGCAATCCCTTCTCCTCCATTCTCCTCTCGGGATCTTGGGTATGCACACACATGCGTCTGGCATGAGTTTAAGCCACCAGGTCTGGGACTTGAACCACGGTCGGCTACCGGCACTCAAACTGCAGTCGACTACATGGGAGTCCAGTGACATAGCTATTACGCTAACTGCTGGTCCACTCAGTTGGTGATCTTGATGTTAAGGAGCTTCGTCCTTCCAGTTTTACTATTTTTAAAAATCAGACATCTGAAAGGGCTCACATATAATTCAGCTTGTGAAACAAACTCAGCATTAGATTCCTTGTTTACCCTTTCATAAACCAAGAAAATTATTTCAAAGGACAGAAGCAGGACTTGAGCAAATCCCAGGAGTTTGAGACTTTTGGGAAGTTCTTGGTATATACTGGGTCCTTGGATCTGTCCTAAAACAAGCAGAAACCACATTTTGTATTGAAATGGTTCTGGTTCCCTAACTGCCATTTATATAGATAGAGATGTCATAGGGAACTCTGGTCTAGGCCAAAACCATATGTGATCAATCTTCTTGAACACCTCTCCCTGCTCCCTCCCCAACTCCCAGTGACCCCAGGAGGCCTGTATTTGGATCCCTGGGGATGGGTCAGGATGGGGCTGACCCCTGGAGTAACTAGCTTATTGCTTCACTAGCTGTTGCACAGGAATACTGTCATACTAATAGCCCTGGAATGTGAGCTGAAAACTGCCAACTCGTTGCAAAAGGAAAATATGTGAGAAGCTCCAAGAACTCTAAGCAAGCACAGTAAGTGTGAGCAATGCAAGATGTCCCTGATGGGGACGAGGGCCAGATAATGAATTTTTTTAAATATTTTATTTTATTTTATTTTATTTATTTATTCATTTATTTTTTAATTTGACCAGAGAGAGAAGAGGTTGGAAGTGAGAGAAAGAGGAAGTGAGAAAGCAAGCCACCAGATTCAGGACTCAAACCCTGGTTGGCCATGTGGGAGTGTCCAGCGCCTTAACCACCACGCCACCTGCTGGCCCCTGTGCACATCATAAATCTGTGACTAGAATAGTATAGCACGAGGCCCTTTTGAGGTTGGAACAGATTGAGCAGCATAATGGTTAGAATTGGATGAAAATTAAAATATTGTCTGAGTTCTTGACAAAAATATTTGTCTGAGATACTTGACAAAGGAGATGTCACAAAATGCACATTTCAAGGCACTTAAAGAAAGCCATA